CACACACACACACACACACACACACACACACACACACACACACACACACACACGTACACACACACATATTCATGGTTAAGAAGTTTTAATTTTTACTTTAATGGGCTGATTTGTGAAATGATCCATAAGATAAATAGTAATGTTTTGTAAAATTACCAGCAGAGTTGGGTATTAACTAGTTACTAGGGCTGCAACAATACATGTACCCGTATCGAACAGTACTTTAGGTTCAATACACACTTGTATCAAACAATATAGATATTTAAATTTATTTTATCAACTTGTCTTCTGAAGATGCTCTGTGTTGAAGGATCAGTGGATCTGTGTTCGACTACTCCACCTAGGCTGTGTTTTTGAGCACATAGCCACTGAGAAACTTGTTGTTTCAGCAACATTTAATTTAAAAACTGTACTTTTGAGGTTAAACAAATGTTCATAATTAATTTAAATAAATTAGAAGTTAAAAGGGGCATGGACATTTATCTTTTTAGTATCGAAAAAACATCAAACCGTGAAACTAAAGTATCGAACCGAACCGAATCATGAATTTCCTGTATCGTAGCAGCCCCACTAGTTACATTTACTCAGTTACATTTACTTGAGTAACTTTTTGGAAAAAAATGTACTTTCAGGAGTATTTTTCCTACACTGTACATTTACTTGAGTAATTTTACTATGAAGTATTTCTACTTTTGAGTAAAATTTCTGGATACTCTACCCACTGTGAGTTAATTCACTGAATGAAGAACAAGCTTGTTTTCACCAAAAATTCACCAGACACACCTGGAGTTTTTGTTAGTTTCATAAAATTTATTTTGAATTAAACTGATTTGGAAAAAAATGTTTCTTTTGCCTGAATTTATTTTGTATATCAATTTTTTTATTTTAATCTTTAAAATGACAAAATTTCCACCTAGCTTTATATTTTTCTCCACCTGATGATGTCATTTTGAACAGTAAATGATTGATGTGTTGCTCAGTTACTCAGTACTTTGGTAGCTTTTTTACCAAATACTTTTTTTTATTCTTACTTGAGTCATTTCTTGGATGGCTACTTTTTACTTTTACTTGAGTAAAAATATGTTGAAGTATTGCTACTCTCTAACTTGAGCACATTTTTTGGTACTCTACCCAGCTCAAACACCAGTCAACTGAGTTATGAGAAAAGCTCATCTTGTATTAATTTTTTTATAGGTCAGTGGTTTCTCTATTAAATTATACTAGGTCTTCTCTCAACAACTACAAATAATCACATTTTTATGTAATGACACTGGAAAAAGTATAAAATAAAGTGAAACAATTAGATTTTGTCTGTTTTAATCCACTGTTTTATCCCAATCAGACCACTCTACTGACGCCCCGCCCCCATTAAATCCTATTGGTCAACTGAAACGAGACCCCATCCTGGTTCGATACAACGAACCAATAAAATTGCTCGATGTCAAATAGAACCTTTTTTGTAACCCCGCCCACTCGCACGGAGCTCTGGGACATTTAGTTCGACGGGTCCGAATAAAAACGACAGTTTGGAGCTACAGAACTACAATCCGCACATCCTGGTTCCAAGAAGCGTTTAAAGACCTCCGGTTCTTAGGGAGAATTAAAAGAAAAATACATTATAATTTGTTCGTTTACATTGCTTTTTTGGAATAAGACCACACAGTCATTATGGTAAGTAAAGACGTGTGAATTAAATATAAATACATTTATCGGTTTAGTCCTAGCTAACATGCTAACGTACAGGGAGCAGGGAAGCTAACTCTCCGCTAACGCTTCACAGCAGGAGAAGTTGTGCCGATCCTCTTATCCTCTTATCGTTTTCCTGCTGAAATAAGAGAACAAACTTTAAAACCACTAACTTTGAGTTGTTGTGTTTTTTAACCATCGTCTCTAACATGTAGTTTCGGCAGCTAGCTGAGTGTTTTGGACATTTTAGCTGTGTTGGTGTAGAATGGGTCGCGCGCTGTTGAGGCTGGTGTTCAGAACCGCCGTGTCCCGGGACGTGTCCCGGTTCAACAGCCGGGCTCTGACGCTGCGTGCCGCCTCTCTGCAGGGGGACGGGGTTTGTAACGGGACGCACGGCGGCAGGAAGGCGTTGCTGTCGGACCCGCAGCGGTTCGAGGCGCAGTTCGACGAGCTGCTGACGGAGCTGACGGAGCGGGACTTCACGGAGCCCGGTCTGACCGACGCGATGAGCAGGCTGAAACAGGTGCGTGTTGTTGTTGTCCCGCTGATGCTCAGGTGTGTTGTGACAGGTGTGTTAGTTCTGATGTTGGGTTACAGGTAATGGTTTACAATGTACCTGGAGGGAAGAAGAACCGAGGGCTGTCTGTGATTGGCTCGCTCCGGGAGCTACTTCCGCCTTCCCAGCTCACCCAGGACGGAGTGCAGCGCGCCCTGGTGGTCGGCTGGTGCATCGAGATGGTGAGGGTTTATCATTACAGCCGTGCAATGAGGATCATTGCAAATATTTAACTAAATCACTCCGGGGGGCCACAGTTCCTGCAGGTCAACAGCTGAGGGGCCGAACATCCAGCAGTTAAAGTCATTATGTAAATAAACCAAATATTACAAAGTAGGGTTGGGCATAATCATATCGTCTGCAATTAATCGTCAGAAAAACATTAATCGATTATTTATTGGTACTTGACGATTAATATGATTAATGCCACCAGACAGACTGAGTGGAGATCTCCCCGGTCAGCCCGCTCGGCGCTCCTCATCGCTTCAAATGTGACGAACATTTAAACAAAAGTTCTGTCATTTATTTATCAACACAATTTAAAATTTGAAGTACAGCCTGAAGTCTGGGATTTCGACACAGTTTGAAAAATATTTTTATGAAGAGCAAACCTTTCCCACTAAATTGGTCATGTGACCAGGACATAAAGGACTCCAGGGGATTAATCGTCAAATTAATCATTGTCGGCTAAACACCACAATTAATCATGATTAATTTTATTGCCAATATTGCCCAACCCTATCACAAAGATCTGTTACCTTTTGAAATGTCCTGATGCAGCTCAGTAATCCAGGTAGAAAAAAATCAAAAAGAAAAAACCAGTAGGTCCTCTGGACGGGTTCTTCTTTAGTGAAACGTTTCGTCTCTCCTCCAAAAGACTTCTTCAGTCTGAGAGTTTCAGGTGAACTCAGCCTTATAAGCTCCGCCTCCACATGGACAAACAGGTTAGTCATATGCTAAATAGGGCCACTTACTAACAATAGGCTTGATTAGCTCTATTGTTCATAGAGGGTCATGTGCCCCATCACCTGACCCGTGTCGTGTTATGTGAATGTAGTGAATGCAAGCGGGGCTCGATGTCCCCTTGTTTTTGTCTTCCTCCTACAACGCTGTTATTGCAAGTATGACTCCGCCCACTGTGAGCAAAAGGTGTGAATCAGGGCCCCAACGATACCAACACAAAGGGAGAGAGGGACAAAAACAAGGGGACATTGAACCCCCGCTTGCATTCACTACATTCACATAACACGACACGGGTCAGGTGATGGGGTACATGACCCTCTATGAACAATAGAGCTAATCAAGCCTGTTGTTAGGTGATGGTCCTCTTTTGCATGTGACTAACCTGTTTGTCCATGTGGAGGCGGAGCTTATAAGT